TTTTAATTGCTCTACATAGAAAGAACACAAGTTATCTACTCTGCAGATAAAATAAAGGCATAGCTGAAGAAGGCCTTAGAACAAAAAAGCCGAAACATAACAAAGATGCATAAATTATTCTGAATGTAAATAATGTAATTGGTTAACTTAGATTCCTCTCTACATTTTCTTTCATATTTACTACCAAATCTTTCATAACGCAGGAGTTCCTCAAGGCTCCATCCTAGGCCCCACTGTATTCCTTATCTATATAAATGACCTTCCTGACGCCAGAATCTCTCAAGTTGGCATCTACGCGGATGACACCACAATTTATTCCTGCCTCAAAAAACAAATCTAGTCTCGCTAACAAAACTCACCTGGCCGTGCGTCTCGAAAAGGACTTACAATCGATTGAGAACTGGGGCAAGAATTGGCTGGTCAACTTCAACGCTTCTAAGAAAAAACTGCTCTCTATTAATCACCACAGAGATCCTTCCCTTCCCTCCATTAGAATGTCTGACGCTCAACTTCCCAAGAGCAACTCTCTGCGGCTTCTCGGTCTCACGTTGACTGCTGACCTGAGATGGAATAAATACATCGAGTCAATTGCCTCGTCCACTGCGAGGAAAGTTGGCTCCCTGAGCCGCGCTAGGAAGTTTTTTTCCCCTGAGTCGATCCTCCAGATATACAAATCCACAATTCGCCCTTGCATGGAGTATTGCTGCCATATATGGTCTGGCGCCCTTCTGTTTGCCTCGGGGTTCTTGATAGGCTCCAGAGGCGGATATGCAATATGGTTGGCCCTGCCCTGGCGTCTCGTCTACAGTCACTTTCTCACAGACGCACCGTCGCCTCCCTCTGTCTGTTCTACAAATACTTTCATGGAAATTGCTCCGAGGAACTGCATTCGCTGGTTCCCAAACTTCATGAGTTCAAGCGCCCTACGAGGCTGGCATCCCGCTCTCACCCCTTCACTGTCGAAACTCCTAAATGTAGCCGTCTCTTCTACTCTAATAGCTTCATGTCTCGCACCTCTCGCCTGTGGAACTCCTTCCCTTCTCCTGTTTCCCTGAGAGTTATAATCTCCAGCTATTCAAGTGTAATGTCAATCGACATCTCCAGTTGCCTTAATCTATCTACTACCCTCATCCTTTCTTCTATCACTCCTATCTGATCTTCCTATTTTCTGTAACCCCTTGCGTCCTAGTGGCTCCCCGCCTTGCTTGGGGTGAAATGCTTAAAAAAAAAAAAAAAGTAAACATCAACTTATGCCAATTTTATTGAATACCTGAACTATTATGATTTAACTTCCAGGAGTTCTCTTTTGACATTGAATCCTCTGCTTTGAATGCTTTTTTATCAGAAAGCACTCTTTTTTTGCTCATTATTATAAAATTACACTGGGATATATATAAAATTCCTCACCGGTGCTCGTGAATTTTTTTCCTCCTATCTTAAATTTTTATTTCTTCAATTTTATTAATTTTATTTTACTATTTTAGTGCAGGGTTTAAATTCTTAAATTAAAGATTACTTAGGCAGTGAACATTCTGCTTTAAATATAGCAGTTTTTTAGAAATATCTTCATAATATATTTGCAAACTGGTAAAATGTTCCCTATTAAATGCAAATCTGCTTGTGGATTTTGTGAATCCTTTACCTACTTAAGTTTTATTTTTGATGCTATTAAAAGTATTAATCTTACATTGAAGCTTAACTTAGGAATAAATGTAATAAATGAAACCTTTATTCTAAGATTTATTGATTAGTGAATGCTGATGTAACTTTTTTTTTTTTTTTTTTTTTTTTTTTTTTTTTTGTGTGTGTGTATTTAATCCCAATTAAATGCAAATATTTTAAGTCTGTAGTGAAACGACAACCTAATAATTAGAAAAGATGAAAGGGCCTTTTATGAAATTGCCAAAAGATGCTTGGGCAGCATTACAATTGTCACTGGATTGTTAAATCTTATGATGTACTTAAATTTTCTGCAATGTCTGGAAGCATTTTTTATAGCCATGGAAATATTCTGTTCTTTTCTACTTTTAGTAGGTGATCATCCTTTGTGATTAATTTGAACTAATTGCCAGGAAACAAAACTCATTTTGTTTTTCATCAGTATAACTGATCCGATTTGGTATAATTTCCTCAATTTGTTCTTAAATTGTAGTCCTCTACTTTACAGCCTTTAAACTAAGAGCTTCAGGTTTCTTGAATGAGTTCTCTATTTAAAAAACAAAATTAAAACATGTGTTTTTAAATACACACACACACACACACTATAAACCCTTTGGGTTTCTTTTCAAATCAGTTCAATATGAAAAGATGGGGGTAATATTAATTTTATTATTAATTAGACATTTTAAGTGTATTTAAAAAAATAAAGAAGGTTCATTGTTTTACTGGGCTTCGGAATTTGCATGAAAATTTGGAGTAATAGCTCAAAACAGCTGTAGTCTCTTTCAAAATAAGTATTTTTTTACATATTTATTTCTTCCTCATATTTATTTTGAAATACATAACAGTAGCAAATCGTGTGCATCTATTTATTTACCAAATTGTATAAATATGTTTATTATTTTTCACATACATAATAGTTGGAATATAATGTACAAGTGTTTATTTACATACCCAGATTGATATTGAAAATAAATACTGAATCTTTCAGCTATGAAGATTGCATTTAAGCATGAAACGTTGCCACTTGGTGTTGACCTTTGTCCACTTTTATATTTTATATATTTTCCATGATAATTTTACCCATAAATATAGCATGCCTTTAAAACTATATTCTTATTTTATTATATATATAAGGGAAAGCCCACTTCTTGTACTGTGATCATAAGGGCAATTCAGATTTAAAAAAAAAAACTTAGTTGGTGATGACCCTGGAAACTGTCACAGATTCTGAATAAGGATTTCTTCACAGTCCAGACAGCTAACCCATCACAGTAAGTTTCCACACACATGGTGGACTCTCAATGCAAACAACAAATGAGGGCTCAGTAAAATAAGGAGGTGCTGAACTTTTAGACTGATCACAGCTGATTAAAATGTTTATTTTTTGTCCTATAGGAAAAATCCAACATGGCGCTTGAATTGGCGAAAAATCCCATTTGTCAGTAACAATTTAAACCTCTAATAGAATGCAAAGTTCTCCGAGCAAACCTTTGATGTCTTGGCTGTCTGAAAATGACATCAAGATGAAATAATGGAAACTGAACATGGAAAACACAATTATGTGCAACAAGTTTTCGATCAATCAGTTAACTTCTAGACGTTTTCGAGCCATGTTATAGGATCCAGATGGCTATTGTTTGCACATGGGATTATTCACTGGTAATTAGTCTTCGGTTTGGCTGTGAAAAATGTCACTCGGGATTAGCATTAGAAAAAATGCCCCCCACCCTCAAAAAAATATTTTTTTAAACTTCAATCCTTTCTCTTTAATTTGGTGCGAACATCGTTGAATAAAAGGAACCGCTATATGACCCCACGGTGGAAAATATGAAAGACATGTGCGAAGAACAATGTTGTCTGCTAAGTGTTGTTGTCATCACACGGGTCACGAGGTGTTAAAAAACACATCAAGCCATTGTTCAAACAGGTTTGAAAAAAAAATATTTCCTTGTTTTTTTTTTTTTTTTTTTTGTTTTTTTTTTTTTTTTTTTTTTTTTTTTTTTTTCCCCACTGAACTCAAAAATGATGCCGGCTTGTTCAATGTTTATGGCTGGCTGGCTGGCCTTTTGACCCAGAAATATCAGTCAATTGGTTTAATTTTCCTTATCGCTACCCTGATTTCTGGTGGTCAGATTGCAGATAAATCTTGGCGAAAACACGAAAAAGATTTCTGTAATGGCTGTCTTTTTTTTAAATCTTTTTTTTTTTTTTTATTTTTATTTTTTTTTTCCTTGATATTTTGTTCAGATGATGACAAAACTCATTTTTTCAATATTTTACCCCTATTTACCCCATGAAAATCCATTTCTTTTTTTTTTTTTTTTTTTTTTTTTTTTTTTTCAGAGAAAATAAGCTGTGACAAAATGAATTGCCATTTTTGTGATGATTTTTACTTGGGATAGAGAATTTTTACAATAGCAAACCTGAATTTACTTAAAGTTTAGAGGGGCTATAGGAACCCTCAAACAGCTGTATGATGGAACATGTGGTTGAGGATCCATTGCCACATGTTTCCACAAGTGGACAGCAAGGCCTGCTTTACTGTGCAACAAAGCCACAGTGACAAGTAAAGCTCATTGAGAGGAGCAGCATGTTGCCAACTTTCTTCAATATTTGCATACAGTTGATCCTTGCTCAGACCTTTGTATGGATGAGAAGCAGCTCCTTTGTTTTTCCAGGAAAAAAAGGAGATGCTGCATCACTTCAGATTGTCTTTATAACACAACTCAACTTCTTGCTCACCGAGCAGATTCCTTGTAGGTAATATCAACCCACTAATGGCTAAATGTCCATGCTATGAAGAGAAAAAAAAAATATTGTTGTCTATAATATCAGGCCAAACTCGTGGTGATCCAGCTACATACACACTGATCAGCATTAGAAACTCCCTTCAAAGTAAGAACCACTTTGCAAGTATGAAATTAGATGATCTCAGGACCAGAAAAAAATCTGCCACAGACTGTTTGCATCTCAGATTCAGAAGATCTATAGTCTATACAACCCAAACCAAAAGCACATTGGTGATATCTCTTGAACCAACTCCCACATTGAAAGAGAACATGACCAAAAACTGTGTGTTCCATTCCATGCAGTTGTAGCAAGGGATACACAGGTGATAGCAGTTGTTCCCTAAAAATGAAAGTAATCTATCCCTTTGGAATGGACATTTTGGTTCATAATTCCAATGTGACAGTTCAGTAGACACCTGGAGAAAGCTAGAGGGTACAACAGAAACATGTACATACAAACCAAGATGAGTATGTTTGTTGGAATGGAAAGGTTGTATTTTTTTCTCCACACACATACCTCCCTTTCTATATTCTTTTTCTTTTTATTAGGAACAAAATACATTTGATGAAATAAATGCAGAAAATACACGAGGATCCCAAGGGACTCCAACACCATCGGGAGGCCTTCATCCTGGTGTGTCCAACCTTCGAGTTACTCCATCACCTGCTGGTTCAACTGGCTCTCGATCAAATACACCTGCATCTATCACAGGTAAATAAAGTGTGTGAGATATATATATATATATATATATATATATATATATATATATTGCCTATTAATTTTAGAATATATGTAATCATGGCTTTCTGTGGATTGCCATGACTTAGGGAAGATAATAGTTTTCTATTGCCTGTTTTTAGCTTATGGTCACTGTAGGATAATGGATAGCAGCTCAAATTCCAATCACTTACGTATCCTTGGGAAAGGTAAGGTATAAATATTCCCCTCCCCAAAGCTATGGATAAATAGCAGGACAGGCCGGGTTCTATAGCCTTGGATGGCAACCTATTGCGGGGGAAAAATCTGCCTAAGCATGTATCATGCATGGTACACAACTGACCGAGTCATTTTCCTTGACTACCTAAGAATAGAGAGCCTGGTTTATACATTTAGTTAGCTCATACTTGTGGGTGAGATAGATTCATACCTTTCCTAGTGCTGTTTGTGCAAAATGAACATGACAGGAGATAGGAATTTGAACTCTACTAGTTGATTCCACATTTGTGCACCCTCAAAACCATTGTGCTAATCATGCATCCTTTTAAATGACCAATTTTCTTAAAATAATTGATATTATAAAATACTAGCAATAAATATTTTATCTTTTTTAAATATTATTTGTTATGACAGGTTCTTCTAAATTTTAACTAGATTTTCATTTTATCCTTTGACATTTTTCCTGTTGTAATTTTTAAAATTTTAATTCTTTATGAAAAAAAAAAAAATTTGCTAAAATTGTACAAGATTTAGAGTTGTACTTTTTTCAGTTATCAGTTGCTTACAGCATTAACTATGTAATATATTTTAGAAGGCTTTATCTTATTTCGAGGTAATTTGTCTTTTACCAAGAAAAAGATCCTACTATAGTGAAATGCTATTTGTCTTGATTCTTAAAGCCTGATTTATCAAATTTTACATCTTGATTTTTTTTTTTTTTTTTTTTTTTTTTTTTTGAGATTCATTTAAGTTGATTCTGTCCCAGTTGCTTAAAGCAAGTGGAAGTGACTGGGCTGTAACAGTTTGGCATTTGCACTATTGAGTATTGTGATAAGTGTCAACAAAGCAGGTAGTTTCCTAACCTAGTTTAGAAGCCATTATTTCTAAATATAACTGACCCAGATGAATCTCTTGTTATTGACACCTGTCTGTGTCAGTAACTTGCTAATTCTGTTTCTGTTTGCTTCTAAAATATATGAGGGCAATCTTTACTTGCCAGGAGTAATGAATAACTGATTAGAAAACACGCTCTTGTCCACTGAATTTTGTCTATGTACCAGAGAGAGGCTGGAGTGGTGTAAATCAGTGCAGTTTCACCTTTCTGATGCTGTTGTTTTCCTTAATTCATACTTTGATTATAATCATTCTATTGATGTTTAGCTTTTATTTTCAATTCCTGCATTTTACATTATCGCTAACAAAGTATCTTTCTATGGGATTATTTATGTATAAATTATCACTTCTGACTAGGATCAAAAATTTATTTCCTGGTTCTCTGCCTAGGATATGTGCTATCTGTGCACTCTTAAGTGTGTGTGTGTGTGTGTGCATGCATATGCATATACACTATTTGTTATATATGTAGATAGTATCTATCAAATAGAATAAAGGCTAATATAGGGATTTTGATATATTTATTTTTGAAAATTATAATTCCAGTCACCTATTACAATTTTTCCTTGGGTTTTGTTGTTGTTGCTTGAGCTTTGCATAAATGTTTTAGAAAGGTTGGATGTACACAGAAAACCGAAAACAGAAGTTTAGTGTGAGGAATTTCTAATTTCATTTAATGAAATTAGATATTCTGTAGTATTTCTTTGTATGTTGAGCTTTTGCATCTAAACTGAGTGTCTTCTTGTGCAAATCTGACCTTTTTTTTTTTTTTTTTTTTTTTTTCCCCCTATTCCAACTTATAGGTAATCGAGCAAGCAGCCCAATGCCACCACGCCCTCCATCTAGTCAGTTAGATGGACAGATACCCCAATCTCAGATGTCAAATCAAGGTAATATCTTTACAGCTATTCACATTTTTGCTGCTTGATTTTTCTCATAAAGGATAAATAGCTTAAACATCAGAGTAACCTTTTTTTCTACAATGTAGTGGGGATAATATAAAAATATTTATATTGTGAATTAAAATATAGCAATTAGACTTTTTAATGATTAATATTCCTCATGTTCATGCAAATATAGATTTACTAGTGTAAGAAGCTGTATCAAAATTTTAGAATATTAGCAGTTTATAAACTGCTTGAAAAGAACTTGCAAAATCCTGTATACATGGGCTTATCATTGCAAAAACAACTTTCATTGTATGTTGGTGTTTACTTCACTCTTAAACATTAATACGGATGACAATTTTATTTGAATTTTTAACAAAAAAAGAAATAAGTAGCTATAAGAAAGCTATTAAAGGCTGCAGTTTTATAAGTTTGTATTTTGGCATAGGAATCTTGCTGGAATTGTATTCAATGCCTGTTGATTACATAAGTGTGAGCAACTTTTAAATTTCAGCTTGTTTACATGGATACTGCTAACTAAACTTTGCTATATTTAATAAGAATCTTGAGAATTTTACTACTGTATTATCTATTTGTACAGCATTTGCTTTTATTTAAGTTACTCCTGAAAATTACTTGGCATGTTTGGCTGCATGATGACTATCAAGTGTGTTATATTAACTGGTCTCGTATGCTTTTGAATGTAATGATTTGATCACTTTAATGCCGGTCTGCATTATTCAGAACTTAGTGATTTAGAAAAATAACAAAAAAAAAATCTTTCTATGCCCTTTTTCTAAATTATGTCAGTATAATTGTCAATGTTTTTAAAAACTTTAATAAAAAGTTTTATATTTTGTTAAGAATTTGTAATATGGCTGGATATTTATTTTTGCTTTTGGAGTCTTCCAAAATAAACTTATTTTAAAGGTCCCAAATTTTTATTCTATATACATGCTATAAGAAAGATAATAAAATGTGAAAATGTTTGTTCATTTTTTAAAAAGAAAATGAAGAAAAATATTTTCATGAATTCTAAAGTTAATGCTTGAGTATCTGCAATTTTCTTAGGCTTTGGTCAGCATATAATGCCTCCTCCAGTTGGCCCTAATCAGATGTACAACACTGGGAATAAACCAATGGCAGGGATGAATGCTGTAGCTGCCTCAGCCTCTCAGATGGGAGGCCATTTTAGCCAGTACAATTCCCAGTTTCCTGGTGAGTAATCAGTTTAGTTCTGTAGCTTAAATCTTGCCCCTTGCTCCTCCCATTATTCTTTTAATTTTTAAAAATTGAATTAAATACATATTCTAACCACTTATTTTCAGATGTGTGGAGACTGGAGTTGTAGCAGATGATGTATTTGTCATACCCTTGTTTTAAATGAATTAATATATGCTAATTATTTTTAACCCATCAAAGTTACATCATCCCAAAATGTTAAGTGTGTGTGTGTGTTTATTTTTTTTATATAGGAAGATGCTCCAATTTATATTGTCTCTTTCTATATGAATACTTATTTTGAAATACCTTGATATCTTTGTAAATGCTGCATGTAAGAAAAGAAAACCTTAGCATTCAATAATTTTTTTATTTCTTCACTTCGAAACAAAGGCATGTTTAATATGGGGATTCAATCATAACAATATATATATTAGGTGCATGGATTGAAAGATGGTTTAAATTTTAGGATTGTCTTACAGTAGACTGTTTATGGCATTTAAATTTCCTTAAAATGTTTGTTTCTTGCATGTGATTAATAAGTTTCTGCAGGCTTAACAAAAATTAAAATTTTCAAGCTTAATGTGTACTTTTTTTTTTTTTTTTTTTTTTTTTGTGTGTGTGTGGTTCATCTTTTCAAAAAAAGTTATGGTAGTCCTGTGTGATTAAAACCATATATTTTCATATAATTTGTTATATGGGGAAAATTGGTATGTTATAAGACCATCTAAATTTTGTGCATTTGTGTCTCTCCTTACATAAAATGTGTACAATTATCCAGTTTAATTTAGTTTATCCAAGGAAATTTGGGAAATCCTTAATTTAATTTCTATCATTTGAAATGATATTGCAAAATAAAAGCTACAATGACTTATTCAGTTGCAGAAAGCTATAAAAGAATTGAAAAATGTTTTTACCTGTGGCCTAACATCAGTTTTGTGTCAGCATTGCAATGTTATGTAAATTATATATGAAAAAAAAAAGTTAATTGAAAGAACGATTTATCACTTGAGTCAGTATTGGCAAGATTTCAATATAGTGTGTGTGTGTGTGTGTATGCATATAAGATGCAGAAAATAAAATACCCTACTGCAACATAGTTGAGAACCCAACTTTTTAATTCTCATCCCCTCCACACACACTTTTTAAGTTAGGAATTTCATTCTGCATTTGTAATTCTATTAAGGGCTAAAGCTATTGTTTTATTTTATATTTCTTTTCAGTTACATTACTAAATTATTCTCAAGATCTTCAGAGGCCACATGGCAAAACTTTCAAAATCTTGTTCATTCTAAGATGGCTTTTTATTTAGTAGGATACCTATTTTATTTACATAGAGAAGTGATGTTTGTATCATTCAACTGCTTTGAATTTGTACACACTTTTGTGATGCTTATGCTGAACCAAAAAGATACAGAAGAAAAATTGTTTTTAATGGTTGAATACAAAATTGAACTTGGCAAGATAATCTTCAGTCCTTAATTGATACTCAAAAATCCTCATCAGATTTGATGTCTGGTATTATTTTTCAGTGTGACCTAAGTACATTGATTTTGTGACTTATTTTTAGATATCATTTTCAAAAAAAAATTTTTTTTTCAGTCAGTTTTATACTTCTTGTAAATGAAAAATTATTTTTCTGTGACACTTCTGAATCTTGTGATAAAAAAATCTGCAGATGTTCTCAAGTAGATATCCTAAAGGACTTAAATCTCTCATTTTCTCCATCTTGCTTTCTTTCTACCTCCTTTCTTTTCCTTTTCCCCCTTAGCTTTTCACTAAACTATATTAGCAGTCTCATGTTTTCATTTTTGCTTCTTCCTCAGTCGGTGATCTGCTTTAGATTTGCTTTTACCTTTGACACAATCTTTCCTTTGCTTCTAGGAAGTTTCCATCGACAACAGAACCCTGCAGGGATGCAGAATTATCCCCAGCAAAATGTGTACAATGGACCCAACCAAATGAGCTCCTTATCTGGAGGATCTTTGTACAGTAGTATGCCTATGAATAGAAATATGTCCTCACAATCTAACTACAATAGTGCAAGCTATCCACAATCTGGGAATATGAACTCACAGTGTAGCAATTATAACAGTCATAGTAGTTCTGCAGTTCCTGGTGGACCACCTCTTCATGGAGGACCAAGTTCAAACCATTCACTGAATTCCATGCAGCAACCACCACCACCACAGGCCTCACCTCTTCCCTCACATCCTCACCCTCCCCATCAGAGTGCTGGGAGTTCTAACAACATGAGCATGTCACCTGGTGGACAGTGTGCAACACCATCCATTGTACCCGGAGTGAAAGGTGCACATGCAGCAGCCCAGGCAGCTATGATTGCAGCTGCCAATACTGCTGCTGCTACACGTACACATCAGCTGCGAACAGGAGCCTCTGCCGGCCAGCCACCACCACCCAGAATGTACCCTCCTCCAGGAATGGGACCTGGTGGCCCGTCATCCTCCCACCTTGGACCGATGAACTTTTCACCTGCCATCAACAACATTCCTAGTTCATCTGGTGGTCAGTTTCCCTCTTCAGTGTCTCAAACATCAGTGCCTAACTCTATGACTCAGCAATCAAATTCTTGTAGTCCAGGCAGTCCCTCTGCGGCCAGTACACAAACTTCCAACACCGTTAGTGCTAATTCCAATCGAACATTGGACTCTATGAAACAAACGGTCCCTTCAATGTCTAAAGAAGGATGCTTACCAGCTAACTGTGGCAGCAATACTAGTGCCATGATTCCACCACCAGTCAGCTCAGGTATGGATGGCATGGTAATGCCACCACAAAATAATTGCACAGAGGAAGGAAAGCCTGTTGATGATAATGGTGATTGTAACAGTGATGGCAGTAGTAATCGCCTCATCATGGCTGGCAGTGCAGAGTCATCTGGTGTCCCAAGTTCAATTCCACCAGCAGTACGCCATAGTCCTGCTGCCACACCTACTTCCTCTTCAGTGCCTGTCAGCCAACATGTATGTGCAAGCAGTCAGGGTCCTAATTTGAATAATTTATCCCTAGATGACAGTCACAACACAACCACTTCTACTGCAAATTCTAGTGCAGGTAACCACTGCTTTGGTCTTGTCTTCCGCACAGCTTTTGCTTCTGTTAGTCTGGCCGCTTGTTGGCCTTTTCTTTTACTCTTCCTATATCAAATCTTTTCATATTTTTTATTTATTTTTTTTTATTTATCACATTTTCATTTTGTTCCTCAGATTTACTCTTCATAGCAACAGCTTGTTCAGATAACAGCACTCGTTTTTTGTAAACTTGTATTGTCATTTAACAGTTTACTTTGTATTAAAAAAAAAAAAAAACTCCCCACCCTATCATTTTTTATTTTTTTTTCTCTTTTGTTTTTAATCATGCACTTTTGTCAGAAAAAGTTGTCTTGCTTTGCTTTAATTGTATCTTTAAACATGCCTTAGTTTTGTATTTTGTTTATTTATTTTTTTACTTTTTTATTTTTTTTGTAAACTGCTTACTATGTTATCTTTTTCAAGGTATCTTGTTGTATTTCCTTTTTTGTTTTGTTGTTAAAACAGTGGGTGCATGTAATGTTGTACAGTTATTTGTTATATAATTTGTTGAATTTTTTTTTTTTTTTTATTAGGAATAATTACAGAAGCACTGAAGTTAATATTTGTAATAAATATTATGGATCTTTTCCGGGAAATAACTAAATCAAATTATTAAATCAGTTATAATAACTAGTTATAATCAGTATGTTTAATTTTATTTATTCTAAAAAATTAAAATAACATTTTGAAAATTGTCTACACAAATTGTAAAACTATAATTTTGTACAGCTCTCATAACATCATACTTTGGATCTTTTTTTTATTATGTTGAATTATTCTTAGTGTTTTATGACAATTTATTTTTTTAATTCCATTTGAAAAATATAAAAAATTCAGTTATTGGAGCCTCAAATTTAGATTGTGGAGCATTTAAAATTCATTTACCATAATCTACAGTCCATTAGTTTTAGTTGGCAAATGGTTTTAGTTTACTTTGACTACATCTTTTTAAGTAAGGAACCTTTTTTTATACTATAGGATAAGAATTTTCCTTGCCTTCACTATCAGTCATTGTTTGTGGTTGCTTTCTGTTCTCTAGCACAAACTTTTTTTTTTTTTTCTTTAGCCACAAATGTTGTTCTCTGATAAAAGCTTTTATCGGCTTGTCTTTTTCCCACTATTCTTGTCTAAACTTTTCTACTACTGAGACTTTTTTCCCCTCTGGACAGCCCAACTATATCATGTATTATTCAGTGCATTTTATGCGATTTCATATTTTAGTTTTAAATAAATTTAGAAAATTCTTGCTTATTTGCACACTTAAAAAAAAAAAAAAAAAAAAGTTTTCTGTTGACAGGACTTAAAATTCAAATTTTTCCTCATTTATTTTTCAGTATTTTACTAAAGTTCAGCATTGCTTATAACCAATTTCACTAACTGATCCTTATTAGAAATAATAAAAACTGAAGTTGCAAGGAAATCTTTGCCTTTGTGAAATTTGCATGTATAAATAATTCCCTTTTCTTGATACAAAAATTTGACTGTATTTGCTCGGAAGTTGAACTGCTCAACTGCATGGTGGTAGTTAGTGTTCCTTGCATGTTAATGTTCCTTGTTAAATAATTTTTCTGAATGGTCATACGTGAAAAAGGAACATTCAACTTTTCAGTTGACAATTTTGCTAAATTATGCTTTATGCAATAAATTGTCTTTTGAACCTCTTTTATTCCACTTTTAAATTAAGTTTATTCTTTGTGCAGATGCACAGGCATAATTACCTGCAGATGTTTGTGATAAATAAATTTCACGAAACATTAAGTTTTCTTTTGCAAAACAGTCTGTAATACTTCTTATTGTTTCTAATTTATTAACAAAGGTATTAAAGTTTTAATCTTTACTTAAAATAACTGATTTTTTTTTTTTTTTTTTTTTTTTTTTTTTTTTCACTATATGCCTTTCCTTTAAATTTTAGGATTGTTGGATTGGTAAAAAAAAAAAAATTTCTCTCCACTCTGTCTGTTTTTCTTTGTACTGATTTTTTTTTTTTTTTTTATTGGCTTTGTCTTGTAGGTAATACAGCTACCATGGTTACACAGGCAATCACAGCGCCTGTCACCAGTGTTGTGGAATCAATGAGTAATGACAGCCAACAGGATCTACTTTCAACTTACAGCATTTCACCAATGGTCAATTCTACTTCAACAGGAGCACCAATGTCAGCTGATGAGCCACCTGAGAAGAAGAAAAAAGTTAGTCTAAATAATTTTTAAAAATTTTGTGTTAAATGAAGTAAGATGTCATGAATTTACTGAATATTTTATCTTATTAAATGATTCCTAGACTTGAAAATCTCTTAAATTTATCCAAAGCACATGAAAAATATACAAAAGGCACACAATGCCCTTGCCCACATATTTAGATGATTTTACAGAGTGTTAGTTTACTTAAATATTTAATTTTAAACTTTTTAAAGGGCAATATAATGGATTTTTTTTTTTTCTCTAAGAAAAAAAAAGGGCATTTATTTGAATAAAACATTCTGTTTTACTTTACAATAAACTATATAAACTCTGTCCTGGAATTAATATCAATCACTTAAAATATTCTAGTAGTTATGAATAGCTCTTTAAGATAAATACAGAATTCTCATGCCTTGGTTATTATAAAATAGTTTTGAATGCTATTTAAAAACATAATACTAATACTTCTTATTCCTTAGTAATGAACTTTTGCATTTAATTGATATTTATAATATTCTTTGGTTGAAAAATTGTATTGTGAGGAATTTTTATGCAAGTCAATGTTTTTATAAGTTGATATTAAACCCACTGGTATTGGTAAAAACTTTCTGGATACATTTATATAAGCAATATATCATGTTTTGGGAGATGTCAGATTTTTTTAAATTTTATTTTTTATTTTATTTTTTTATTTTTATTTTTTTATTTATTTATTTATTTATTTTTTTTTTTGTAATTAAATCTAATATGTGTTCGTTAAAGAAATTTTTAACACACTCTACCATTTTCCTTTTATCCAATGTAATTCCAGGACATAGGTGATCATTAATCTCCAAATTCCTTTATTCTCCATGATTTGCCATGCATTCTTGGGAAACATAGTGGAGTGATTTCTGTTGCCTTCTCTGTGGGTTGGAATTCATTAATTTTAATGTTTCTGTTTCACTTTTTAATATTACTTTCATCAAAATTGCTTCCTAATTTTCTTTGCTTGAATATTGTTTTCGAATCTTCTTTTAATGATGGGCAAGTTTTCTATTTGATTAATATTTGGAGAAGTTAAGGGCCATTCCATTAATTTGGTGTCTTTGAAACCATTTTTGACAAATATTTAACTTGGGAATTGTTCTGCATTAATATAATCTATAGCTAAAACTTTTGTTCAAGAACTCTTCATTCACCTTGCTATCTTCAATTTTGAAGAGACCTATAGTTTTATTGTCTAATACTAATTCAAAATATTCCCCACTTCCCAATGCTGTTGACGGTATCCATGAAGGACTCAATCTCTATCTCAGCCATATGGTTCAGCCAGTGTAACCCTACATTCCTTAAAAATTACCTTTGAGATATCAGTTTTCATGTCTGTCTTTGCCTAACTCACCCATTCCTTATATTTATTTAAAATGTAGTAGTTTGGTTGCATTTTTATTAAAATATTCTTTTTTTTTTTCTCTGCTTACGTTCATAATACAGCTTCTTTAAAAATTTTCTTGTGGCTTAGTCTACCTTTATGCCAATCCTCTTAGATGTTCTATGGTCTTTGTGACATTTTTCAAGTTTTTTTTTTTTCCATTATCACAAAGTAAGCTGGCCTGGCCATGTTCAGTGTAGAGAGGGGCCTATCTAACAAGGTGTGACAGTTGAGGGGAACAGAATAAGATGGCCCAAGATGATGTGGAAGGATGCTTTTCAGGACAGGGAAAGATTGGTCTAGAACTGGTTGGTGCAAGTGATAGGCATATGTAGAGTTAAACTGAGATCCTCTGTCAGAAGGACCCACCTTGCTTTGTGCAAGATTAATCATGGTCCTGCCCAACAAAATAACACAGCTGTGATGCCAATGATTTTTTTCTTCTAGATAACTGATTACCAGTATTGTAACCCTCACTCAATAACCACAATTTTTTTTCTCCCCCGCCCCTTTTTTTTTTTTTTTTTTTTTTTTTTTTACATTGCCATGAGTCACAAGAAAATATCAATCTTATATGAAAAATTTCAATAACCATACTATTGTATATATTTATTAAGTAGAATAATAAAATTTACCACTACCAAATAAGTTATTACAAATATTTGTAATAAAAGCAGATATTATAAATTAAAATTCACATGGTATATTTATATAAATGAGTATATCCTGGAAATTTTACTAACTCTGGTTGGTTAATACCCCCTTTATTGTGGAAACATTGATTTGCATAATGAAATTTGAACAATCTTTTTCTTAACCCTTTTTTTTTTTTTTTAATTCTTTTCTTTTCTTAAGTATAATTTTATTTTCTTCTATAAGGCTTAAATTTCTAGCAAGGATTGCATTTAAAGCACACCTTGTATACATATCTCCCCGTTATCTAATACTTAATACATTTGTACTACATTACTATTTAATGAATTTGCCGTGGTTTGTGCGTGATTATATAAAATGTAAAACTTGAGTCAAAACTTTCCCCACAATTCATCTGCTTTAATTCAATGGGCATTTTAATTGCCTATTATGAGTATCTGGAAATGTCTTAAGAAAACAAAAAATTTGGAAATGTTTTAATAAAACAAAATTTAATAAAATTTATTTTGTACGTCAAAGTATATTTCCTTCAATATAGATTTATTTGCATGTGTGTGTTTAAAATTGCCTGTTTCAAATCAAAGGTATTTTTTCTAAAGGAACCAACTTGTGTGTGTGTTTTATGAACGTTATCAAATTTGAATCTGATCTTGTATTTAGAAAATGCCTACCAGTTTGTGACGTTTTGCTAGAATTTTTTATATTAATTTTTCAGTTGTATTTAGGTTAGAAAAACATTTTAATAAAATTAGTTATGAATATTTGTATAATAAAAGTTAAAGAATTTTATTTTAAGTAGAGAGAAAATTTAGAAGTCATTAAGTTGTGTATCATGATTTGTATATATAAATACAAAACTGAAAACTGCAGGATATTCTCCACTATTGATTATAAAAATCTTCAGTAAGTGATGGAATTTGTGTACATTGGCACTGGTGTGTGTGAGTGTGTGTGTGTGTGTGTGTGTGTGTGTGAGAGAGAGAGATTGATTCATTTGAGATCTCCGGCTCTAGTAAAAATCTTGTTTTGTTATTTCTTGCAAGAACTGGAGACTAGGTAAAGTTATGTTGGTAAATGACTGTTGTTTATAGAAGTGATTAAGAATACTTAATATACTTAATTGATTTTTCTTAAGTAATGTTTATCAGTCTTTTTTTTGCATGTATATTTATTTTTCCATTTAAATGCTGTCTATTTAGTTGCTGTTTATACATTCAAGTGTAAGAAAACTATTCACTTATTGAAAAAAACAAGGTCACTAAGAAAAGATCATTTGATGTTTTGTTTTGTTTTTTTGTTTTTTTTCTAATTAGCTCTTTGCTTTGAATGTCTTAAAGATTAAAATGCTTTGCTAAAAAAGTGCTTTATTTTTATGATACAGGCTTTCAGTATTAAGTCATAAATTTATGCTAAAAATATTCTAATGTGAATTTTATGAAATTATTCACTGTAAACTTTGACAAAAATTAAAATAAAGACTAATTTAAAAATTTTCTAATTTTTGCTAATGAATTAGTAAACTTTGCAATAATATAGATTGTGGGTTTTGATACTCCTACTTTATTGGAAATATTAAAAATTGCCTCAAAGTTTCTTGCCATTTGATCAGCTGCAGTTCAACTTGCAAAAATTATAGATATTGCTGGAGAACTGAGAAATTCTAATCATGTGATTTGACATTAGTAATCTCTCCAGGTACCTATTTGCTTACCTCTTCTCCAGTTTTTGCTGATAGTATTTCTCTTTAGTTCTAGGATGGCATGTCCTGTAATCTGACAAATCTTTCTTATTTTTGTTTTTGTTTTTATTTTTTTAATTTTTTTTTTTTTTTTTTTTTTTTTAAATTCCCCATGCCTGTTCCAAGACTTTTCCTTCCATTTAATTGATTTCTTGATTATTTTAAGTATTCTAGTTAAATTTGACTACCATTTTAATCAGGAGTCCTCTTAAATGCATTCACAAATTTCTTAGCTTCAATTAAGCTTTGTTTATAATTATAGAAGTAATCTCTACTGAAGATTGACTTTAAAAAGGGGGAGAAAAAAAAAAATGGTTCCCAATCCAAAACGTCATGATTCTTTATATTTTAACTGAATGACTGACAATTATTTATACATTCTATGACTCATAGTCCATAGAATTTTTTTGTGATTGAAGAAAAAAGATAAATGAATGAAAGTGATTTATATATATTTTTTTTTTTTTTTTTTTTTTTTTTTTTTTTTAATTTAAATATTTTCCCCTTTTTTTCTTTAAGTGGGAATTACTGCAACTTAAGTGCTGGCTGGGGGTAATGCCTCTTACTCTATATTTACTCTTATTTTTTTTTTTTTTTTTTTTTTTTTTTTTATTTATTTATTTTTTTTAATAATAAAATATAAAAACAAAATTTGGTGTTTTGCTTTTTTTTTTTTTTTTTTTTTTTTTTTTTTTTTTTTTTTTTTCATCCAACCAAGATTTAAAAAAAAAAAAAACAAACTGAATGCTCTGTTATGTACAAAAGGTTCAGTGCCAGTCTATGTTCATTCTAGGATTGTGTTTCACATCCCCCAACACCGACCAATCTGTCCCAATCTCCAAGTGGAACAAGTGTGTCCTCCTATCCAGAGGAGATAGAGAACCTTAACAGTCCGACAAGCTGGTCGGTGGGCACTCCAGTAAGTGGGTTTGGGTTGTCGTCAGTTGTTCTCAGGGGTTAATGCTTTTGGTTATTTTTATTTTTTTTTTTATTTTTTTTTTATTTTTTATTTTTTTATACTCACTATATTGGTCCCAACTACTTTATTTATTCATTTATTTATTTATTTATTTTTTCTTGATTTCTCTTTCTCTTCCTCCTCCACACTTTTTATGTTTTTAGTAATTTTTTTTTTTTTCTCTCTCTCCTTTCTTCTTTGCTTTATTATTGGATCTTATCTGGAGCTTGGTGCACGCCACAACCCTTAACTCCATCCCACTTCCTGCTTCTATTGGCATTTTGTTTCTGTCATTCACATTTACACCCCCACTCCCTACCATTTTTATTTACATAACTGTATTGGTTTTTAGGTGGATTTTTTTTTTTCTCTTTGCACAAACACAAGATATATTTGTATGTCCATATACAAAATAGTTGTGCAGTAAGTTGGCTTTTTATTCTCAATCACAGCAATATCTAAAACACACACACACACACACACACACACACACACAGCAGTTTTCTCTTAGGTAAGTTTTATCAGTCATATTTAATACTTGTCTAAATATCCAGACTTTTTTTTTATTATTATTATATAAAATATCTTTATTAGAAATAAACTGGCAGAAAAGATAAGTGTTTGTATAACTTTTTCTTTTCCCTCTCCAAACATTAATGAAGTTTTGTAATATTTTAAGTTAATATTGACTGCATATTTCTTTCTTAGGTTTAACTTGTTTTGCTTTAGAAATTTAGAAATTTGCTTTCAATTTAGAAAAGACATTTAAAGACTTCATAAAACAGTCTGGTTTTTATACTTTGTTTGTTCCTTGACAATCAAAGCATAATTTTCATTTACACTATTTCAGGTTTCACAGAATGTTTTTATTTGGTTTGTCCTGCTTTATGATTGCTCAGATATGAAATATTTGAAGTTTTTGGGCCACTTTTCGTGCTGCCTCTTTAAGTTCTGCATTTACCTTAATGTGTTTGAACTATTTCCATATTTATTTAAATCAATGTTTTTAAAAGCTAGAGGATTTTTTTCTTTTTTTATAAATGTTCATTAATCTTTAGCTACTTTTATATTCAGTTTTAGTCAGTATTTTAAGAATTATAATTGCAGACTCCCTTCTCTTGTCAAACCTTATTAAAATTGCTGTGTTCTAATGAAATCAACTAATTTACTGTACTAATTTACCAAACTTACTCTTTTTGTTAATTTTGATATTTTAAAAAAAAAAAAATTGTGGCTGAATTTCTTGGGTTCTTTTTAATACCTTCAAGTCTTCAGATTTTAAACATTTTTCATATCTGATTTACAATGTTTGCTTTTTTTTTTTTTTTTTTTTTTTTTTGCTTATTACATATTAGCTACTTGAAATTTTTCTACAAATTCTCCTGTAATGGCTTGTTTTAATTTAAGGAAGTGTCTACTCTATCAGTTTAATTTTTTTTATACTTAGAATACCTAAAGCTTTTGTACAGAGATTAGAAAAACAAATTGAGGTAAACATTGTGAACTATTTTTCAGTTCTCGGTTAAAAATTGATTTGCTTTAAACCATATAAATCAGTTAAACTACACATCATTTTTACAACTGCATGAAAAATACCTGAAAAACTGCATAAGTTTACAAAAAATTGTGTTTACATTTATTGGGTACAACTAATTGAAACTATTTCAGTTGTATTTCTACTGTTTTAATGATTTGTAAGTTTTTTTTTTTTTTTTTCTTTAATTACTCAGAGAATCTGCATCCCAAACATTGATAAAATCTAATAGTATATACTGTTTTAGTGACTGGAAACTTTTAATATTGTTAAAATAGGAAAATTTAGTCTTAAGACATGTAGATTGATTCTTAAAAGATTAATAGTAAAGAGCATATTTAAAACCATTAAACTTGATCAAATAAAATTTATGTATTTACTCTTGAAGTGTTTTATCAGGATTAGGTACCTAATATAGTAATCTGAATGATTTATGTTAAAGTCTTTGGCTTTTCTTATATTTTTCCATAACATCTGTCACCAATGGCTGGCATATGTACAGTTCTAATTTTTCAAATGTCTAAGCCAACTTTACAAAATCTGTACATACAAGTATGGTGCACCCTTTCTTCTCCCCATCTGTCCTGCCTGCACAATAACACTATTCTCTTCTCCCTTGATGTACTGATAAATTTACTCTGCATGTTTGTTTCTTGTACTTTTGTTGTTTGTTTTTATTATCATCTATTTAATTTTCTAAATGAAACATTAGGTTGTTGGAATTAGTTATCATCATTCAATGAAAGCTGCTCCAGCAATTAGCACACATTTCCATAGATGTTTATCTTGTGTTTTCGTTATTCTGTAATGTTCAATTGTTTGTTCTTATTCACATCCTCTGGTGCTGGTTTGTTTTTATCATTAGAATCACATACACACACATATATATATATATATATATATATATATATATAATTTCTTGCTGTAGGTTGGTTGGATGGGTGCTGTTGACATTGTGATATGGTTTCTGCAATGATCATTTGCTACTTGTGTTGATGTCTTTTGATTTTTAAAAGAAAACCAAGAGTTTTTTTTCTAGTTGTAACATTCCTGTGGGTCTTTTTTTTTCTCTGTGAACCCATTTAAATTTGCCTTAGGTGCATAATATTTTTGTGGTAATTTCTATGTGGCCTGTTTAATCATTCGGGAGATATTTTTCACAAATTTAATTTTGGGTGTTTGAGAATATAAAAATTTTTCTAATTCTTTAAAATTAGAACAGCTGAAAATATCTTGTGTATGTTTATTTTTGTTTGGGTGGTGTGGGGGATTGGCCATTCAAAAACCATTTGATTAAAATTAATGATTTCAAATAATTTTCAAGAAATCCACCATATATAGAGATTAAATATAAATTTAAATCCTTTTCATCGGAAAATGTAAATTATCAGAATTGTATTTCTGGTATATTTGAATTTCCATATTGTGCATGATTAAAGAAAGGTGCTAATATACATTACACACTTACAATCTGCATGAATGATAAATTTTGGGAATGTTATTTTAGTCACTTGCAGATATGACTCACTGCATTATTTTTAATTATGCTGATGATAGAATATTCTGGGGAAACAGCTTACTATCATTTTAGGTTATTGATTCTTTCATTATTTAAGCATTACATTTTCTGTAATAATACAACACAGACCTATTAGAATACATTAAAAAAAAACTAGATTTTAACTTATTTTTTAAGCAGAATTTTTGCTAACAAAATGCTTGGTAGATAATTAGTGGCAATATTCAATCAATCAAATGTTCAAGGGACTTATCTCCTTGATCGACTCCAGAGTTTCTTGTAACAATTATTTTTTAGTTTTAGTTGTATAGAAATATATATATATATATATATATATATATATATATATATACTACACACACACAAACAAATTCAACATGAAGTTAAAAAGTTCACGCTACATCACCATGAAATAGTTGCAAGTTGAACTTTCTGGTTTTTATTGAAATTGAATGCTCTTTTTGTAAAGATTACTTATCAATAATATTAATTTATTGAATTATGTTTGTGTACACACACTACTTATGAAAATTTAGTACCTTTTTAAGAAAACATTAAGATGTTTTTAAATGGTAATTTTTTTATTAACTATAATGTTGTAGTTACAAAAATTATTCACATAATCAACTGTGTAAATAAATTTTATAAATATATTCTGCATTCTGCATGGCTAAACAATTTCTTTTTTTAAACCTGCATTTGCACTAACAATATTCAGATTTTTTTCATCTGCAGTTAACCATATATTATTTTTGTACAATACCATAATTAAGATGTAAATAAAATGGTTAAAGATGTTCCTTAAGCCATTTTTTCTTTCAGTGGGTTTGAAGTTTAGCTGTTCATCATAGTATACAATAATTATTTAATTTTAGATTTCCCCCCTTATGTTCATTTTTGCATAAAATATTAAAACTTTCTGTAACTGTTTATTTAATCATTTTCATGTTTAGAACATCAGTATAAATATTTTGAATATGTAGACATTACAAGTTTTATATAATCATTTGTTTTTTCCTAATAGTATTTGATATTTTTTAGATTTTAAGATTTATATTTGCATTTTTATTAAATATTTCTTGTCTGTAAACATTTTACTAATGTTTGTTTTCATTCTTTTTAATTTTTTTTCTTCTCTTCCTCCTATCACCCATTTATCAGAAGCCTAGCCAATCTGCAGATTTGCACAAGTTGTACACAATGGGTGATGAACCTGACAGAAAAATGTTTCTTGATAGATTATTGTATTTTTTGGAGGAAAAGGGTTCTCCAATTACATCTATGCCTCAAATTAGCAAACAACCTCTGGATCTTTACAAACTTTATCACAGTGTAAAAGAAAAAGGAGGAATGGTTGAGGTAAGTAATGTATTTATTACCATGTAGTTTAGTATTTGCATTCAACTATTTTTTCTTCTCTCTTTACATATGAAAAGATTGAAATATTTGTATCTTAATGTTAATTTTTTAATTTTTCTTTTTATTCATGTTTACCCTTTCTTTACATTTGGAATGTTTAGCATATAGAAGGTGCTGAAAAGTACTTGACTCAACCCATTTTCCAAAATCTGTACATTTTTGTAACTGGAAAGAGTTTTTATATTGTAGAGTGACTATTTTTAGGATTGTTGTGCTTAATGATGAAATATCAATCCTTAGCAAAACAGTATTTCAATAAAGGATTAAAATAATGTGAGAATGATGTACGAAATAAGTTGAACTGCAGAATTGATGTGAAAGAATGTGGCTCTGGGTGATCTTTCCTGGCCTAGCCTAGAAAATCTATACTTGCCACACTACAAATCTGCTTTGATCAGATTTTTGGTAGGTTTAGCACCTCCCTCCTATAAATATGACTCTAGCAGAACTGTTTTTCTGGTGTTGCTGTTTGTATCTAATATAATTTTGAAAATTTGGTTTATATTTGTGCAAGTGAGTTGGTTATCTAAAATTTGATTTCAGGATTAGTAAATTTAAGAAAAAATAATAATCTGAAGCTTTGTTCTTTCTCTGCCATTCACATATAATTTTGTAACTGACAGATTGCATTTGCTACAACTTTTTAGATTGTCCCTTCTACTTGCATGTTTTTCTGTTTTCCCTCACCCAGGATGTTGGTGATAATAGTTCTTCACAACTTCCTGACTTTGTTTTTTAGTCATACTGCTTCTTTGTTGTATAATGCTTGATTCAAAAATGTTCTAAATTCTACTCTTTTACATTGTGCAGGTGAATAAAGCCAAGAAATGGAAAGAGATCTGTGCTGTTGTAAACATTGGCTCCTCAGCAAGTGCTGCATTTACTCTGAAAAAGAATTATGTAAAATATTTGTTTGCACTGGAATGCAAATATGACAAAGGAGGTATTGATCCAGCTCCCATCTTAGCCCAGATGGAAGCAGCAATGCAACAGAAACGGGAAAGCAAACAGAGAAGAGCTCCCTCACCTGGTATGTAATTGTTGATCACTTTTCAAATGATTTGCATTTAAGTTTTATTATTCACTGAAAATCTTTTAACTAATGCTGGGAGGTGGAAAAGATTAAATTTAAAATATATTTTAGCTGAGTTAATACTTAATCTATATAGAATACACAATAAATCTTGTTTATTTAGAACATAGAATTTATCCTAAATTTTGAAGTTAGGATACACACTTTGAAATTATATTTGTTTATTTAATCTGTCATCCACTTTATAGAATTTATATGCAAAAGCATCTATATTTTGATTTCAATCCATTTCAGCTGGTTCTCAGGGATCTTCTCAAGATGCATTCCGACCTCCTAGCACTCCAAATAGCAACAGCCAAGGAATGGATCCTTTCTCCCCCAACATGCAACCTTATATGGGTGGACCTAATTCAGAACCCAACATGGGCCCAATGGGCTCGGGTATGTTGCCCCATGGAAGCATGATGAACAGTATGAATCCTTCCAATAACATGATGGGCCAGAATTCTGTTGGCGGTCCAAATTCTGGTATGCTCCCTCCTCACCATATGTCATCTGGTCCAAACAGTATGCATGGCAGTATGATGCCTGGGAACATGCCACCCTCAAACAATATGATGGGGAATTCATATGCTCCCAACAGCATGATGCCAAACAATATGGGTCCAAACAATTCTATGATGCCCAACAACATGGGTTCCTCTAGCAATAATATGCTTGGAAACAACATGGGGCCTTCCAATAACAATCTAGCTTCAAACATGACTCAACCAGCTCCTCCTCCTCAAAATGAAAGTGACAGTGTTAGTGTACAAGACCCATTTGCTGATGAACCATGTCCAAGTGGTCCAAGCTATCCAAGGCAGAGTATGAACTCTCAGATGCCTACATACTCTGGTATGCAATCTCAAACTACAATGTCTGGGGCATATGGTTTCAACAGGCAAAATGCTCAACATGGAATGTCCCCATATTCAAATATGAGCCAACAGTCTATGAACAATTACTCTGAAAACCGAATAGGTCAGAATGAACAATACAATGATGCATACCGAAGGACTATGGGTATGGACAATTTTAATAGTAATAATAGGAATACTGAAAATTTTGGCCCTGGGAATAACCAGTTTGGGCCGCGGAATAGTCAAGGATCAGGTGCACAGTTTCCTTTTGGGCAGCAATTTGACAGAGAAAGGTAATTTCTTTTTTTAGTTTTGTTTGTCTGTACATTGTTTTAATTTTATTAATAAGTATTGTACAATTCACATTTATTTTTGTAAATTTATGCTATTTATAGCATCACATTTTCTTTCCAACTGTTTTAAGTTGGTATCTGACCCCTTGATAGTAATAAATAGTAATAAAGTAATTTTGTATTGATACTTAATTTAGTCTAATGTACAGGTCACTTTAAGTGTATGTTAGACATCTGACCTTGTCACAATTCATCTTAGTGGGAGACAGTAAATACCTAGACATTTGAAGAAATGACAGGATTTTTATGTATAAAGCAACAACAAACATATGCAAATATTTCTTTCTGCACTCATGATTTTTAGTTGAAGGATTTCTGCTATGAAAGTTTTTTTTTCACATGGATTTTTCTGAGAATAGTTGACAAGAAAATCAGGAACACAAATTATTGCTGAGGGCAACAAAAGACAGGTTGCTGAAAATTTATGATTACTCATGTTGTGAAGGAATAGAGAAATATGTGAAAGACAAGCGTTTATAAAAATCTTTTATCTGCTCTTTTTCTTGCAGAGCAGATTAGGTATCTTATCTGGAGATAAATTGTGATAAAAGAATAGTTTTTACAGAATAGTTTGATTATGTATGATAGCTAAAATGTTGATACATCATTAGAGAGATTGCTGTTTTTAAGTTTAATCTTCAATGTAATTTTCACTGAATTTTCCTGTTTTGAGAAAATAACATGCTTTATGCTTGCAATATAATTTGACATAAGTAGTAAGTACCTTTTTGTTATAGGTTTGATTTGCATGAAGTAAGTATCAAAAAATTTCATGCTTGTCTCTTATTTTATTTTTAAGAAAGTGTCATTTACAGTTGAGTCCACTGTAACTTTTGCCTCTTAAAACATTTTTACAAATTGGCTATTCACACTATTATCTAGGTATGTTTACCAAAAATCACATGGAGTTAAATATTTTCCTAGTTTAATCCTGTGTACTTTCATCTTCTAACATAACAGATGTAATGCTTTTAAGTATGGCTAATTTTTCAGTTTGCTTCCAAGTGCATTTGTTGTTCTATATACAATATATTAACTAATTTTGATAGTGTCTTTAAACTTTGTTTCTTTTGCTAATTATTTTTTATAACTTTTTTCAACTGTATTTATTTTATAAATTTTGTGTCACTTATATATAAACAAGAAAAAAAATGAAATATTTGATTTCAGATCTCATTAGTTGGAAATCACCAAATTTTCTTTACTATATTCATTTGCAGATAATCTTAATAAATTGGTGTCCTGTTATAATTTTGAACAATTTATAATAATTTGTATAAACTGTCCTGAAATACACTGTTTTCAAGTATAAGATAATTTGTAGTAGATGATTGAAGGAAGAGTCCATCCTTCAATCTTTTTGAAGTGTTATGGCCGCTGAAAAATTTAATATGCAGAATATAATCTAAATACATACCAGTCATCACCAGAGAGTAGAAATATTTTCCTTCAAATAATTCAAGAAAAGAGATTTGTATTATAATTATTGCACTAAACATGCGGTTTAGTGCAATAATTAGAAGTATCATTCACTTGTAAATTTTTAGTCCAAATTTAAGATGGTGTAAAGAATAAACATAATCAATAATCATTAGTGCTGTTTTATTTCCTCCATCAAATTAACATTAAATATTGTAAATAATTTTTGTTCTTAAATTATTAAATTATACCAGATTAACAACTGAATGTTTAGTTTGAATGTTTTTTTTAATTCTTTGTTGTATATTTTGTTAGTGTTTTGTTGACTATGAAATAAACTTTCAGAAGAAAAAAAATAATTTTCTTTGCTCTAGGTTTGATCAACCAAACCCGGTCAATTCTAATCAGCAATTCCGACCTCCCTCTCAGCCTGGAATGGTTACTCCACAACAACATCCAGAACAAATGTATCCTAGTCGCTATGGCAGCAATCAGCAAATGAACCCAGTTCGGTCTCACACTCCTCAGCACGATCAGTATCCACCTCAGTCAGGATACCCTAACCAAAGTAATACTTTTGGCAGTCCCAGAGGAGTAGTACCTCAAGAACAGTATCAGAATTATCCCAATCAACAATCTGGATTTGGAGGACATCGGCCACCCACTTCAAGAGATGTGCCTGCTGGAAATATGTATGGAACCCCAAATAAAAGATTCCCACCTGATGTTGAAAGGCGAGAAAATTTCAACATGTCTGGTTAGTATTTTATTTTATCAAGTGTGAGCGTGTGATTTTTTTTTAATTTTTTTTATTATTAAAAAACATTTATGGTAGGGATTGTATTATTTTAAGTCTTGGCACTTAACTATATTTTACAGGTGTTAGGTAATAACGATAACTAATGCTTAGCAATTCCTTAGCATGCAGTCCAAACAAAGATAAAATTACAACAGAAACCCAAAGTAATGTAAAGCATTAACTGATTCAAAAAATTGCTGGTAAAGCTGCCATACATGTTTTCATTCAATGGTTTATAATGAATTTCACATTTATTAAAATCTGTCAGGATTAAACAGTTAGTAAATATTTTTGAATTCTGAAAAGTTCAGTTAAATTTAGGAAAAGATTTAAAAGCAATTTCAGTATATATGTGTGTATGTAGGTATATGTATATATGTATATACACACACACACACACACACATATATATATATATATATATATATATATATATATATATGGTGATATGGGTCATTCCATGTCAGTTCACCAGGGCATTGCACCACCGACCAAATTACTTGAAATTTGGCACAAATATTCACTTTATAAATTAGAGAAAGTTGCCAAATTATTTTGTGCTAGACTTTACCCGTTCAATTTTATGAAGTGTAATTTTCCTATTTTGCCTCAAATTAAAAGGCTGTGTAACATCACCAAATTTTTGTTTTTTTTTTTGCAAAATTAAAGAAAAATACTTCCATACCTTTTCAATATTTTCTGAAATTTGTATATGAGGCAAATAAGAAGTGTAGAATTCTAATATTTAACTATTTTAAACCTACACTTGATAGAAAACTTTTTTTACTCACCCAAATACATGATGCCAAAATCAACAACTTTTCACCTATGTAGCTTACAGTCAGTCTATTGAAAATACGTCCTCTTCAATTTTCATATTTTTTCCTTAATATCTACAATGCCTGCTTAACTTCACCAAAACATTTTGTGGGTGTTTTAGGTCTACTTTAGAAGACCCTGCCAAGTTTAGAGTTTTTTCCTATGTATGTGCAGGATTTCTGAGAAAGATTATGATTAAAGGCCATCATCCTAATGCTCCATGACTTCTAAAATGTTGATATTGTGCTAAGTAACTTAAGCTATTCAATAAAATTGTTTTTATTAATTTAAAAAAAAATAATAATTTGAATATATTTTGCAGCTATTACTTTTTGTACAGATAGTCTTTAAAAAGCGCTAAACATTGCCTCGTATGATAATCAACAGTGCATAGAAAATTTGTAAATGGCACTTAACAAATGAAGTTAAAAGAAATTCTTTCTGTGTTTCTTTTAATTTTATTTTGGTTAATTATTTTCATGAAACAACAAACATTTGATTTTTTTTTTTTTTTTTTTTTCATTCTCAAAAAAGTCATAAGATAAATGTGAATCTTGAAAATGGCACTTAACATATTTATATAGTTAAAGGAAATGCTTTCATTACATTTTTTAAATTTTTATTTAAATAATTTTTCAAAATTATTTTAATGAAACAAATATTTGATTTTGTTTTAATTGGAAGAGTCGCAATAAAAATGAATATAAGAGTCTTTAAAAGATTACATTTAAACTACACTATGCACTGTCTGGTCCTGAAATATCTGTCACTTACTATCCAGTATATCCAAGGAGAAATGTGTTATTTTTCTAATTACTTGGATTTTTTACTTGCACACTGGATTTGAAGTACAGTAGTTTCTTTTTTTCAGTTAAAGACGAATTGGTCTATTTATACTGAGCTAACAGTTGAAACCTGTCATGGTTTATTCAATGATAAACAGGTTGGATTGATTTCAGTTGATCAGTTGGATGCAATGATATAAAGACATTCCTCATAGAACAGGACTTGATGAGGATAAATATAAACTATCTTTACCATCAAAACAGACCTTGTTGACTAACTATGAATGGCTTGGAAAGAGATGATGTAATCCATTTAAAAATCATAAAAGCAAATCAAAGGTGGTTTGAAACCAATTTCAGTGGAGATGGCAGACAAAGGCAAAGGCTAAGTTGAGTATTAATCCCAGGCAAGAAAAATCTGCCCTAATTGTTTTATTAATCACAAACTTCCTGATGAAGAACCAAGACATGTATCAGATGAGAAAATGAAAAGGCGAGTTTGATACAAAATACTTCTGCAGAAACAGAAGAGAAATATCAATGAATGTTTCTCTGCTATTGAATTTTCTCCACTGAAAACAAAAAAGGCTTCATTACTCAGGAAAAAGCTACTTTAGGTAAAAATTTTTCTGCAATGCAATGTGAAAGACCAAAAGTAGCCAAGTTGACAGTTAAAAGTTGACTATGAGCTGTCAAATGATGAGGGTTTTAAAATCAAAAAGGAGATTTTAGATAAAGCTAAGTGCTTTGATAAAATGATAGAAAAGCAAAAAGTGAAGACAGTGGAATCAACAAATCAAAATACAGATCTTGACACTTGCCCCAACCGACTGATTACACAGAAAAGTCATGATGTGTTGGTGTTTAAGAACACATTGTACAAAAGATTGCAAATTGTTTGAAAGAGGTATTTTAGCTGTGCCAGAAACCAAAAAGGGTAAGTCTTTGCCTGCTGATATTGCAGTTATGGAACATTTACCAAGATGAAATACTTTCTGATGCCAGACAGGAATTAAAAGCGTAATATTCATCAGCAGAAAGACTCATCTTGGGGCAACATAAACAAGCTCTTCAGAGGATTCATAAACAGAACCCAACAGTACCTTTGGGATTTAAATTTTGTATTCTAAGGGAGAAATGGTGTGTCCTCTGTTAGTAAAGGAGTATGCATGTTGTATGTGCATGCATTATCCACCAAAATATGAATTACTGGAACCACTGAATGTATTTTTGGAAATATATTGTCTGTAATATCAGTAGCAGAGTGTAGGATTCATAGGTGCCCAAATTGTCCTAAATCATCAGGGCAGCTTGAAAAATTTCTTTGACACCATGGAAGGATATATCAATAATGCTGAATCAAGACACTGGATGGACAACAATGAAGATCGACTTTGATAGCCCAAAAGGAATCCTGTCATGCTGTATATTCATTTAGAAGTTTTGGTAAACTGAATAAATTAGAACCTCATTCTCATGGCAAATCACAATCAAGGTACTTAAAGAAAAGAGGAGATTAGTGTATAGTGAAATTTTGTTCCTGGGAGAGCCTTTTTTGAGAACTACAAATGTTTTAGATGAGATTCAGAGCTGAATTTGGAATACTTCACAATATAGCTAGATCCAGTAGTACTCTACTTTTCAGCAGTAAATGCAATGCAAAGTGAATGTTTTGCTTGTCAAGTGACAACTCCATGATGTAGCATTTGTTTATATGGTACAGAAAAAAATTGAGGTAATCAAAGCTACCTTTACCAAACAAAAATATTGAGTATTTTACTGATGGTTGTGCAGCGCAATACAAGAATTATAAGAACTTTGCCAATTTGTGCAACCATCAGAAAGATTTTGGGCTCAATGTAAAAAAGGAATTTCTTTTGCAACAAGTCATGGTAAACAACTGTGATGGCATAGGTGGACAGGTAAAAGGATAGATGTAAAAAAGAAAGCCAGAAGACCAACTACCAAACAAAAATACTTTCCACAGAATCTGAATATCAGAAATCTGCAAATTGAAGGTATCAAATTTAAATTCTGGTTTTAAAGGATTAGTTGAGGAAGATGAGGAGGAGTCTCACCATGAGATTCAAAAATGCATCCACAGTCCAAGGAACAAGAAGTTTCATCAATTTATTCCACTCACCAGAGATAAAATAGCTATGAAACAATGTAGCGCAGATGAAAACTATTACCTAATATATGACTTTTATTTGGGCTGAAGAAAAACCAGTAAACTTTTTTTTGTTTCAGGATATGTTTGTTGCAAGTGCGAAAATAAAATTTGGATTGGCATGGTCTTGAAAATTTATATGGAGAATAAGGACTTGCTGATTAAGTTCATGCACCCAGCTTTTCCATCACATACATTTTACTGGAAAGAAGATTTTAAGGATATATGTTTTGTACCATTAATGAATATTCTGTGCCCTGTTGATGTTCCTATAACAGCAAATGGTAGTTTATCATTTGTCCAAGATGGATAAATTATCTTTGCAAAAACTTATATCCAAAACAATTTAGTCTATATGCATAACAAAATTTAGTGCATAGTGTAGTTTAAAATTTAATCTTTTAAAGACGCTTTTATATTAATTTTTGTTGCAATTTTCTCCTGAATGAAACAAAATTCAAATATTTGTTTCATGAAAATAATTTTGAAAAATTTAAAAAATAAAACTTTAAAAAATGTAAAAGCATTTTCTTTAACTATATAAATATGTTAAGTGCCAACTACAAATATTATTTTTTAAAGTTTCACATTTATCTTATGACTTTTTTTTTCTTTTAACTTAATTTGTTAGGTGCCATTTATAAATTTTCTATGCACTGTTGATTATCAAACATGAGGCAATATTTAGTGCTTTTTAAAGACAATCTATCTGTACAAAAAGTAATAGCTGCAAAATATATTCAAATTTTTTTTTTATTGAATAGCTTAAGAAGTTACTTAGCATAGTATCAACATTTTAGAGGTCATGCAGCATTAGGATGATGATCTTTAATCATAATCTTTCTCAGAAATCCTGCACATACATAGGAAAAAACTCTAAAGTAGACTTAAAACACTCAAAAAATGTTTTGAAGTTAAGCAGTTGTAGATATTAAGGAGAAAATGGTATAAAAATTGAAGAGTGACGAAAATGATAGTGACTATAAGCGCATAGGTGAAAAATTGTTGATTTCAAGATTTGTATTTTGGTGAGTAACATAAAATTTTCTATTAAGTGTAGGCTTAAAATAGTTAAATATTAGGATTCTACACTTTATTATTTGTATATATATATAAATTTCAGAAATATTGAAGGTATGAAGATTTTTTTTAATTTGCAAAAATAAAATTGATGGGATGTTAAG